CGGCATGTAGCAACATCAATAGAACGGGGCCTCCTAGCAGACCTTTCAATACTCATTTCATTCACAGGAATGATGACGGTCCTTACAACGACTGCAAGGAAGTCTAGGCTACCAAACTGGATGGTAGCTCTAATATTTCTAGTTTCAATGATAGCATTCACCAATTAGATTTTAGCTCCCTATCCCAATTGGATAGTCATCAGGGTATTCTATAGATCCATCTATACAAATGAAAGATAAGGGTTAGTAATCAAAATTTGATACATCACCCCACACTTTCAAAGTGCATAGACTTGCACAAAATAAAAAATAAAGGCAGATAACATTAGCGAGCAATTCAAATAAAATAAATTTAAAATACTACTAAATGCATTATCTTAATGATTTCTTTTGAATGGTCATTTTTAGAATATTCAGATTTCTATCTTTTTTGAATGATTATGTTAAAAAGGCTCTGATTTTTCAGCCCAAATTGATTTTTTGTTGCTACTATAGCGTTGAGATGACTAGTCAATGATGGAAAGAGAAACCAATACCCAACAGAGTCGCTAGAAATATGTGGGCTCTAAAAATTCTATTGATTCATATCTCAAGGATTTAATGCCGTTAAGGAGCGTATTGGCTCTAGCCATAACCGATATTTCATGGTACCATTTGGCGGCAAAATCACTCGATTCAGAGGGCCCCAGGTCATAATCGTTTATCTTATGATGTCATTTAGAGGCAAAACCACCAATCAGAAGACACATACCATATCCTTACTAGCAAGAGATTATTTGAGAATAAATCCTAGTAATATTTTTGACTAGGCAATAGCTCTATGTGAGCTAATGTAAATTTTAACTTGTCCACCCAGGCAAACTATTACAAATGGTGAATGGGTTTTTCTTTAAGTGTATTGATGATTGAATTTCAGCTTTAAACATCTTGGAGTTTGGGATTTATGATTTTAGAATATTTGGATGGAGCTTGGAAGGCATTTGAAATGGTTTGTGAACCCCTCCAGTTGAGATAAACATTCAGCACGGCCATCATCAGGGTAGTGAATGTGGGGGCATTTCTATTTGTTGATTGAACTTTGTCAACTCTATCAACTTGTCGATAGGGGATCAGGTTTCTCAGGCTTCATGCCTTTTTTGTGAATTTTCTTTATTAAAGGCCTTGAAGGCCTAACATTAATTTATAAGATTTAATCTTATGTGTATACCAATAACACACTTGCCGGGACCCATACAGGTGTTTGGAGGCATTTTATAATTAAACCCTATTGACTCCTTTTTACCTACTTAGGAGGATAAGATTTAAATCTATTGACATGTATAGCATCCCTAGATGTCACATGTGTACCAATAGCATGCTCGTCGGGGCCCTTACGGCTATTTAATTGCATACCTCCTTTTCGTGTACCTATGTGTATACAAACTATAGTGCATGTGCGGGGGGGTGCTTTGAAATATTTGGCTGATCTTTCGCAGTTGCATGTTTAACAGGATGTCCCATGATAATTTATAGGAATTCACATTTGTTATAGACCTTTAACATTTGTTTGTGAACATCACATCGGGTGTATGATTGGTCTTCTACGATGACTCGTAGGAGTCAACATTCACTGCATATCTTCCACCTTTGCTTATAGTGGATCAATGTATTTTTCAACCATTGATTGATTATTCATTGCAACTGTATTGCAACATTTATTATCTACCATTGATTATCATCATCGCACATATGAATGTTTGCTGCACACCAGTCCTCACATTTTTATAGGAGACCAGTATCTTTGCTTACATACGACTATTGATCCTTGGTATAGTTGCATTCGTCATTGCCCCATAATTTCATGTTAACTGTGAGAACATTTGTGCAACCATTGCGTGCTAGCTAACCGTCATCGCCTATCAGGGTTTGGTGTATTTGCCTATGCCTCTTTCAATTCTTGTAACAACTGCTGCATGCATTTTTTAGACAATACAGTCTTTTATCAGTGCTTGTAAGTGAATGCATTAGGGGCATTTCAATATCACTATCACCAGGATGGCAATGAAATTACTTGAAATATACTTAAACGTCATCATGTGAGAAATCAATTTTGAGAATTAACCCCTTTTGTTGAAATTTATCATCAACATGGCTACCATTAGATATTTAAATAATTCATATTATTTTGTTATTTAAATCTGATCAACTATGTTTGCTCGCCAACAAAAGATTGGGTATAATTTGAGTTCAATTTGCATTTTTTATGATAGAATCTCCTCCGGTTTATATTTCACTTTCAACAAGATCATTATCAAGGAAGCGTTGAAATCACTTGAATTATATTTGTACGTTGCAATATGAAGATTCAATTATTAGAATTAATCCCTCCGATTAAAATTCATCACCGACACAACCATTATTAGTTATTTAATTAGTTCACATTTATCTTATTTAAACATTATCAACTCAATTTACCAGCGAATAGGATCAGGTTCAATTATTAATTTTGCTAATTTGTTAACAAACATTAAGATTGAGAGTTTATATTTTGTAAAAAAAAAATTAAAAAGGCTTGAACGCCTAATGTGAACATACGATATGAGCCTCGATAGATTTTACAATTATATGTTCACTTATTATCAAAGTCATACCTACAGCAGTTCTTTCAAAAAATATGATTATACTTAAAATTTAAATTCATATTTAACCCACACAACCTTCTTGAACCTTAGGTTTAAAAGTTCATTTTAACAATCACACTACATGCACAGGTGATTAATTTAAAATTTTTATTTTAAATTAGCTCACTTATAACCCCGCCATCCTTAGACTTTCATGTTAGAGTGTTAAGAATGTTTATTGAAGAACATGCGGATGATTAATTTGAAAAAAAAAATATTTTGAATTAACACGCTTTTAAACCTGCGATCTTCTCTGACCTTCCTATTTAAATGATAACCTTGAAAAGCATGATACAAACATCGAGAAGCATGATACCGTCTCAAGACGCATGTCACTACATTAAGAAGCGTGATGCTGCATCAAGAATATACCATTGTCTCAAAAAGCATGCAACTTCCTTGAAAAACGCACTATTATGCAAAAGTATAAGAAAATTTAATAAGTAATAGATATTGAAAAATATGCTAAAGAGTAAATTTCAAATTTTCAACATTAAATCTATTGATACTATTACTATATATTTGGTACTTAGTGTCTATCTAACAACTAATATTTAGGGGTAATTAACCATAGGGAGCTTGCATCTATAGGAGATATGAACTCAAATTATAAAATCCTCATAAAATGAAGACAAAATCTCTAGATAATTTTTTTATCTTCAAACTAATCCACCTTCTTTGATCTGAAACCTATTTCATTTACACTCTCCCAAAATGTGGAGAGAATGGGGTGCTAGTTTTCAAAACACATAGAGCATATATCAAAATGTCTATAGAGCAACTAGCTTCAATTTAAAACTAACATGGAGTTGTTGACATAGCTGAACCATCAATGCTGAAAAGTTGGGTGATTAGAAAGAACATCTTGAGATATTCTTCTCATTTAATCAAACATTTATACATTAAAAAAAAAATGGCATCATCCGATTGAAGCTTTCTACCTATGCTTTCATATGATGGGATTTACAATCCTGAAATTATAATATACTGATAATGGCATGGCCATGATTTAAGAGCATATTGAAACTCAATGCTACCCCCATCAATCACTATAAAAAAAACAGCTTCATCTGATTGAAGATTTCTACCTATGCTTTCATATGATGGGATTTACAATCCTGAAAAAGAAAAACATGGCCATGATTTAAGAGCATATTGAAAATCAATACTTCCCCCATAAACCACTATCAAGAGAAGTGGATGCGAAGGCAGCGACTGAGGCAAAGATTTATGTAGATAGTGCAAGAAAACATGCTAGAATTCTGAAAGTAAGAACTAACCGAATGTTCTACTGGAAAACATGTGAGTATTCATGAAACGCATAACAGGGCTCCCCGAGGCGTTATGCGTGTAGAAAGTAGAAATTTAGTTATCAAACATAAGAACCCGTTGAATAGCTCTTCAGAAGGAACTTTTATTTGGTCCGGTCACCTGACGTAGCTCTACGTTCGGACGTCAGTAAAATAGTGCCACGTGTTCTCACTATTTACCGCGCGGCCCGACAACCCCGACCCGGAACAGAGACGGGATTGCTATGTTCGCGTGTTGCTAGGTATTGCTCGGTATTTGTCGATTTTGCTCGGCAATAATGAGAAATACCATTCTGTGAAGACCAATACCGAGCAATACCGAATTTTTCTCGGTATTGGCCTTCACAGAGCGATATTTTTCATTATTGCCAAGCAATACCTAGCAATACCTAGAGCAATACCGAGCAATACGCGTACATAGCAATCCCGGGTCAAGTCGTCGGTCCGCGCGGTATTG